AATAAAGGATGGCTTATCATTCAGTTCAGTTTTGCGTAGGAAGTCATGAAGACTTCCTCTTTTTCAGGTCTGGCATTTGCCATTGGCTTTACTCTTCATCTGAGAAGTTCAGTATGACTTACTTTTTTAAAATTAAAGTAAAAAAAATTAAAGTAAATTAAACCATTTATTTAAAAAAGTATTGTAGTAGTACTTGAAATAATTGGTCAAGTTGAGTCTAGGAATCACTACCTTGGATGCTAATGACACAAGGAAAAAAATGTATCACATTTTACTCTCACAAAGTCCTTGATGAAAGCTTTTATTTTAATCAGCTTATAAATTTGATGAATGTGGATAATGCTCTGGCATCATTCCAAGAAGATTCTTTTTATCTGCTGAAATAAAGCACACAAAATAAAATAATAAAGCCATAAAACATCATCAAGTAACTTTATTCATTGACACTTGATATTAATGCACTGAGTCATCTTTGAATACAGTGTGGTTTGTCAGCTATCTTCCTGTGTAAAGACATAATACATAATGCTAATTTTTTGAAATACACTTACCTTTGCACTTTCCAAGTGGTTGATTGTGGCTAATAAATCAGAATTATGGGTTCTAATCACCTTAGCATATCAGTATTTAAAATTTTTAGTCCAGAAAATAACTTCATTATCTCTCACAACTGGCATAAACATTGTAAAAATATTATCAAGTGGTGCCCCTCCTTTGAATAACCTTTCAGTAACTTTTCATTCATTTTACTTAAGATCTGGAATGTTTAGTATCATTTGAAAAGGTTTGTTGAGAGCTGGCCTCAGCATACCAGCCTTTTTAAAGTTCTTGTTTATCATGAAATTCTTTCCCTTATCGGTGGCTTCTTGTATACTGTTTCCTCTGCAGGTGGCACCATACCTGTTTCTCTTCTTCCCTACACACTTCTTCCCTATACATTTTTCCTGTTATGACCTTTTGCATCTTTTGGGCCTTAACACTTGTTTAGAGAAGATTTCACTAATCCTTTTTAAAAATCATGCCCCCAGCTAAAATCACTGGTTTTACACTTTAATTTCCTTCTTAGATTCATCACTGTTTATATCAATATGTTGTGATTATTTGTCTGTTGATTCTTTCTCCAGACAAGGTCCCTATCTTTATTTTTTTAATTGTTTTTAAATTTTTTATTGGTGTTCAATTTGCCAACATAATAGAATAACACCCAGTGCTCATCCCGTCAAGTGTCCCCCTCAGTGCCCGTCACCCAGTCACCCCCACCCCCCGCCCACCTCCCCTTCCACCACGCCTAGTTCATTTCCCAGAGTTAGGAGTCTTTCATGTTCTGTCTCCCTTTCTGATATTTCCCACTCATTTTTTCTCCTTTCCCCTTTATTCCCTTTCACTATTTTTTATATTCCCCAAATGAATGAGACCATATAATGTTTGTCCTTCTCCGATTGACTTATTTCACTCAGCATAATACCCTCCAGTTCCATTCACGTCGAAGCAAATGGTGGGTATTTGTCTTTTCTTTTCTTTTCTTTTTTGCAACAAGAAGAAAACACTAGTTTATTTTTTAAATAATAAATTTATTTTTTATTGGTGTTCAATTTGCCAACATACAGAATAACACCCAGTGCTCATCCCGTCAAGTGCCCCCCTCAGTGCCCATCACCCACTCACCCCCACCCCCTGTCCTCCTCCCCTTCCACCACCCCTAGTTTGTTTCCCAGAGTTAGGAGTCTTTATGTTCTGTCTCCCTTTCTGATATTTCCTACCCATTTCTTCTCCCTTCCCTTCTATTCCCTTTCACTATTATTTATATTCCCCAAATGAATGAGAACATAAAATGTTTGTCCTTCTCCGATTGACTTATTTCACTCAGCATAATACCCTCCAGGTCCATCCACATCAAAGCAAATGGTGGGTATTTGTCATTTCTAATGGCTGAGTAATATTCCATTGTATACAGAGACCACATCTTTATCCATTCATCTTTCGATGGACACTGAGGCTCCTTCCACAGTTTGACTATTGTGGACATTGCTGCTAGAAACATCGGGGTGCAGGTGTCCTGGCGTTTCACTGCATCTGTATCTTTGGGGTAAATCCCCAACAGCGCGATTGCTGGGTCGTAGGGCAGATCTATTTTTAACTCTTTGAGGAACCTCCACACAGTTTTCCAGAGTGGCTGTACCAGTTCACATTCTCACCAACAGTGCAAGAGGGTTCCCCTTTCTCCACATCCTCTCCAACATTTGTTGTTTCCTGCCTTGTTAATTTTCCCCATTCTCACTGGGGTGAGGTGGTATCTCATTGTGGTTTTGATTTGTATTTCCCTGATGGCAAGTGATGTGGAGCATTTCCTCATGTGCTTGTTGGTCATGTCTGTGTCTTCCTCTGTGAGATTTCTGTTCATGTCTTTTGCCCATTTCATGATTGGATTGTTTGTTTCTTTGGTGTTGAGTTTAATAAGTTCTTTATAGATCTTGGAAACTAGCCCTCTATCAGATACGTCATTTGCAAATACCTTCTCCCATTCTGTAGGTTGTCTTTTAGTTTTGTTGACTGTTTCTTTTGCTGTGCAAAAGCTTCTTTTTTGTGTGTGTGTGCAAAAGCTTCTTATCTTGATGAAGTCCCAATAGTTCATTTTTGCTTTTGTTTCTCACTCTCTCTCTCTCTCTCTCTTTTTTTTTTTTTTTGGTTCTGCAGGCTGACTTTTATTTTTTTATTTTTATTTTTTTGTAAATTTATTTTTTATTGGTGTTCAATTTGCCAACATATAGAATAACACCCAGTGCTCATTCCGTCAAGTGCCAATCTCAGTGCCCGTCACCCAGTCAGCTCCACCCCCCACCCACCTCCCTTTCCACTACCCTTAGTTCATTTCCCAGAGTTAGAAGTCTTTCATGTTCTGTCTCCCTTTCTGATATTTTCCACTCATTTTTTTCTCCTTTCCCCTTTATTCCCTTTCACTATTTTTTTATATTCCCCAAAGCAAGGTCCCTATCTTCAGATGAGACCTTATCTGGTCCCTATCTCTGAAGATATGGACCTTGTCCACTTTTGTTCACTGATAAATCCTTGGCAGTTAGCACAGGGACTGACACCATACTGGATGGGACTGAGGGAATCCCAGCATCTTTCTGATACTTACCAAGATCAGAATTCTTCTACCAGACCCAGAATTCCTCTACTGACACAATTTTCAAAGGAAATACAATACCCATATAAGGGAGAGTTTATAAAATGTTTCAAAAACCAGTGCCTGGGTGCCCTTCATCCCATTTTCATCAGATCTTTTATACCAAGAGCAGGAGCTAATTTGCATTACTAGTAAATGTTAAAGGACACAAATAATTTAAAAAATTAATTTAAGCAAGATGTGGGCAGTATATGGCCTTAAAGAAAAAATGCTTAAAAAGCCTTTTTAAAAAGTTTGTTTTACTTTTTTTTAAGGATTTTATTTATTTATTTGAGAGAGAGAAATAAGCAGGGGTAGCAGCAGAGGGAGAAGAGGCAGCAGGCCTCCTGCTGAGCAGGTAGACCCATGTGGGGCTCAATCTCAGGACCCTGGTATCATGACCTGAGCCAAAGGTAGATGCTTAACCATCTGAGCCACCCAGGTGCCCCTAAAAAAACTGTTTTAAAGACAGTATTTCTAGGGATGCCTGGGTGGTTCAGTAGTTGAGCGTCTGCCTTTGGCTCAGGGCATGATCCTAGAGTCCTGGGATTGAGTCCCACATTGGGCTCTCCATGGGGAGCCTCTCTGCCTCTGTCTCTCTCTCTCTGTGTCTCATGAATAAATAAATAGAATCTTAAAAAAAAATAAAGACAGTATTTCTGAAAGTAAAATGAGGACTTACATAGAAAACGCAGATGTTTTTATGTTAATTTAGTTCATTTAAATATTGCAGTATATTATGGCAAAGAGTCTAAAGTCGGTTGGGTGTAACTCTCCTTTGTATTTGCATGAATTTAAAGTTTGAGTTACACACATTGAAAAGGTCAGTAGATAGTACTCTGGTATTTTATGAAAGATAATGTGGCTGTTTGTTGTGGCTCTGGTTCTAGGCAGTATGAAACTGTGGTTCCACTTGAAGATTCTATTGTGACTGAGGTTACAGCAACTCTACAAGAATGGGCCAGTCTGTGGAAACAACTCTATGTGGTAAGTATTGATAACTAGCTTACTAGATCATTAAAGTTCTATTATGAAAAAAGAATTATATATGCCAATTACAAATTTTTAGATTTATGAATAATCGCAACTTTTCAATGTTCCTAATATTAACTGAAACATTGTATACTGAGTGTTGTTCAACCTGAAGAAAACACATTATTCGTATGCCTCCGGTCCCTGTATGCTATTCTAGTCACTAGAATGAATATAAGTTCCATAACACCAGGAATTTTAGCTGCCTTACTGCTGGAGCCCCAGAAGCTTTCATAAAACAGGTGTTTACTGAATGAATGTACAAACTTAAGAGTTTCATTGTGTACCTAAAGGTGAGTAAAGGCCAAGAAGTTGTCTCAACAGTTTCTTACAGCTACTAAGCATAAAGGGTATGCCATATAGGACATGTTTCTCTAAGCCCACAATTAATAGAAAGAATAATAAAAACCTAGTCCATATACTCTGGAAGTGTAAAGTGAGTGGAGGACACAAAATCTAGGCTAAAAATAAGTGTCAAGGTTTGGGTTCTGTTTATTCCATCTGAACATACTGTTATACTCCTCTTACTAATCACAACAAAAATCCTGGACAAAACCCATAAATCATCTACCAGAAAACTCTGAAAGAAAAGGAAGGTGGAGTGACTAGGGACCTTTGAACTCAAGGATTGAGTGAGGTCCCTGATTGTTGTTTTTTCTTGCCTCTCATATACTTTGGTCTGGGCTCTAGAGAAGCCCACCACTTGGAATACTAATGGGTGCACACAGAAAGCACCAAAGAAAACCTTTTCCTTTTAGCCAAAGGGATGACCCAGCAAGACAGAAACCTTTTTTCCCCTTCATATCAGACCAGTTATGTGCAGAGGTTGTAATAAGGTTTGAGTGAAGCACATGTCATATAGTGGCATCAACACTCAATCACCATGCTTATGAACTACAAAAGGATCAAGACAGAAACCTTTTAATTTTAACCTATCCTTTCTGTTCTCTAGAGAACATTGCAATAAAAGCTGCACCCCCTTGTACCCACCCAACAGGCATTACAGTAGTGGAATTGGTGATCAGAACTTCCATCTTACACACACTCTTCCCCACACCTGCAATAATAAGATGTCCCTTTCCAATGGAACCTCAGGCCAAACTCTGACTTCTACCCCTTCCTGCTGTGGTAATGAGGCAGTACCTCTCTTGAGTGGGGCTTGTAGGTGGATTCCGACTGCAACTTCACTAGTACTTGCAAGGTGGCACCTTCCTCAGCAGAGCCTGTGGGTGGGACTCTGGATTTCACAACTACCCAGTGTTAACAAGGTGATGCCCTTATTTTACAGAGTTCTGTGGGCAAAACTCTGACTTCCTCCTGTGCTCTGAAGTAAGGAAGAAGCATCCTTCTACAGAGGACCCTGTGGTTAGAGCTCTTGATTTCCACTTCCCCTGTAATAATAAGTGGGTCCCTCCCAAGCTGAGCCTGTAGGCAGGACTGACTCACATCTCCCCAATTAATGAGACAGTGCCCTTCTCTAGTACACCATGTCAAGAATACCCTGTTTTTCATCCTTGTCCTGCTGAAATAAGGCAGTGCTTTTCCCCACCCAAATCCATGCGGAGTGTAAGTAAAGTGGAGTTCTGCTATCTACATAACACACAAATGGGGGAAACTAGAAGAGTACTGGAAAGACTTTATATACTAAATTGATATTTAAATTGACAGTTCACAAAAGTGAGCCTAGGATTGCATTCTGAAGCTAAGCTGGGTGACCTGCTAATTAAAAGATTTAAATAGGACTCCGAATGTCATAGGATAATACTTAAAATGTCCAGTGTACAGACCAAATTTCCTTGTTATATGAAGAATCTCAACTCTAATAAGAAAAGAAAATCAACAATGCCAACTTCGAAATGACACAGATGTTTGAATCATCAGCAAGGATCTTAAAGCTGTTTTTGTAAAATTGCTCCACTAAACAATTAGAGACACTCTTGAAACAAATGAAAACATAAGAAACTGCAGCAATAGAAGTAGAAAATGTAAAGTATCAAGTGGGAATTTTAGAACTGAAAAATACGGTAACCAAAATTTAAAAATTACTGGATAGGCTCCATGCCAGAATGGAAAGAAGAGAGGAAGGAATTAGTGAGCTTAAAGATGGATCAAAAGAAATTATCCAATCTTAATAATGGTGAAAAACTAAATGAAAAAGTAAGCTTAGCCTCAGAGACCTTTGGGACAATAACAAAAGATCTAACATTTGAGGCATTCTATACTAGATAGGACAGAATGTGGACCTAAAAAAAACTGTGAAGAAATAATGGCTTACATATTCCCAAATTTGGCAAAAGACGTAAGCCTAGAGACTTAAGAAGCTGAGTGAACTCCAAACAGGATAAACGTAAATAAATCCATGTACAGTCACATTAGTTAAACTTCTGAAAATTAAATGAAAAAATCTTTATATATACATAAGTATATATGTATTTTTAAATTATGTATTTTAATATTCCAATTTAATTAATATGCAGTGTTAGATTAGTTTCAGGTGTACAAGATAGTGATTTAGTAATTCTCCACATTACTTAGTACTTACATTAAGTATACCCCTTTTTCATGTTTTTAAATTTTTTATTTAAATTTTACTTAGTTAACATACAATGCAATATTTCTGAAGTAGAATTCATCACTTACATGCAACACCTAGTGCTCATCACCACATGTCAAGCCCATCTCCCCACCTCCCTCCATCAACTCTCAGTTTGTTCTCTGTCAATAAGAGTCTCTTATGGCTTGTTTCTCTCACTCCTTTTCTGTTTCTTCCCCTTCCCATATGTTCATCTGTTTTCTTTCTTAAATTCCACATATGAGTGAGATCATACGGTATTTGGCTTTCTCTAATTATTTCACTTAACATAATACAGTCTAGCTCCATCCATGTCATTGCAAATGGCAAAATTTCATTCTTTTTGATGGCTAAGTAACACTCCATTATATATGTGTGTGAGTGTGTATACATACATACATACCACATCTTTTTTTTATTGAAGTTCGATTTGCCAACGTATAACAGTGCTCATACCATCAAGTGCCCTCCTCAGTGCCCGTCACCCAGTTACTCCATCCCCTGCCTGTCTCCCCTTCCACTACCCTTTGTTGGTGTCCCGAGAGAGTTAGGAGTCTCTTATGGTTTGTCACTCATTTTTTTTCCACTCACTTTCCATCCTTTCCCTTATAATCCCTTTCACTATTTTTTATATACCCTGTATGAGTGAAACCATAGGATGATTGTCTCTCTGATCGACTTACTTCACTCAGCATGATACTCTCCAGTTCCATCCACGTTGAAGCAAATGGTAGGTATTTGTCCCTTCTAATGGCTGAGTAATATTCCATTGTGTATATACATATACATATATATATGTGTGTGTGTGTGTGTGTGTGTGTATATATATATGTGTGTGTGTGTGTGTGTGTGTGTGTGTGTGTATATTTTTTTGAGCCTTTTTGGAGAAAAAAAAACTGAAAAAAACACATCTTCTTTTTTTTAAGATTTTATTTATTTATTCATGATAGTCCCAGAGAGAGAAAGAGAGAGAGGCAGAGACACAGGCAGAGGGAGAAGCAGGCTCCATGCAGGGAGCCCAACGCGGGACTCGATCCCGGGTCTCCAGGATCGTGCCCTGGGCCAAAGGCAGGCGCTAAACTGCTGCGTCACCCAGGGATCCCTATACCACATCTTCTTTATCCATTCATCTGTTGAAGGACATCCTTCTACAGTTTGGCTTTTGTGGATATGGCTGCTATAAACAGATGTCCTAGTGTTTCACTACATCTGTATCTTTGGGATAAATCCCCAGTAGTACAATTGCCGGGTCGTAGGGTAGCTCTATTTTTAACTCTTTGAGGAACCTCCGAAGTGTTTTCCAGAGTAGCTGTACCAGTTTGTATTCCCACCAACAGTGCAAGATGGTTCCCTTTTCTCCACATCCTCTCCCACATTTGTTGTTTCCTGTCTTGTTAATTTTCACCATTCTCACTCGTGTGAGGTGGTATTGCATTGATAACACATCTTCTTTATCCATTCATCAGTTAATGGATGTTTGGGCTCTGTCCACAGTTTAACTATTATTGATAGTGCTGCTTGTAAACATCAGGGGGCATGTACCCCCTTTGAATCAGTATTTTTGTATCGTTTGGATAAATAGTGCAATTGTTGAGTCTTAAGGTAGTTCTTTTTTTAACTTTTTGAGGAACCTCCAAACTGTTCTCCAGGATGCCTGTACCAGTTTGCATTACCACTAGCAGTATAAGAAGGTTCCCCTTTCTCTGCATCTTTGCCAACACCTATTGTTTCTTGTGTTGTTAATTTTAGCCATTCTGATAGGTGTGAGGTTTGTACCTTATTGTGATTTTGATTTATATTTCCTTGATGAGTGATGTTGAGCATCTTTTCATGTGTCTATTGGCCATCTGGATGTCTTCTTTGGAAGTGTGTCTAGATAAGTGCACTTTTAATTCCCTTCACCTATTTGACCCATTTCCCCCACCGACTAAAGAGAAAATCTTGAAAGGGAAATGACACATTACTATTAGGGAAATGGCAATTGAATGACAGCAGATTTTTCATAAGAAATTATGGAAGACACAAGAAGGTAGCCCAACATTTTTTAACCATTGAAAGAAAAAAACTGATGTTACCTCAGATTGTGTATCCTGGAGAAATATACTTCAAGAATGAAGGAGAAATAAACACATTTTCAGATAAAGGAAAGCTAAGAAAATGTATTGTTAGTGGATTGGTTTTAAAATAGTAACTATAAAGGAAGAATTATGGAAGAACACTTGGAACATAGGAGTGAAGTAATCAATGGAAGGGGTAAATTCTCTTCAGTTTTTAAAATTGTCTTAGAGGATACAAAGCAAAAATTATGACACTGGTACAGTTCTCAATGTATATCAAGGTTATATTTAAGAAAGTTGTATCTAAAGTGGTGAGGGAAAGCGGCATAGATTATGGTAAGGTATCTGCATTCTATTTCAAGTGGTAAGATGTTGATATTGATATAAGTAGATTATAATTTATGTATGTATGTTATAATCTCTAGAGCAATCATTAAAAATACTAATAAAGTAACATAATAAAAATACTGTAAATAAACCAAAACGGAATAACTAAAAATGTTCAAGTAACCTTATAAGAAATTAAGAAAGGGAAAACAGAGGAAAGTGAAACACAGGGAACAAATACTAAAATGTGGATTTAAATCCTAACATATAAATAATAGAAACATATAAATTGACAGAGTTGATAAAAAAGACTTAACTGTGTGCTGTCTGTTAAGTACCGGACTTCATTTATAATAACACAGGAGGTGAAAGTTAGAAAAATATATGCAATGCATACACTATCAGAAGAAAGCTATATTAAAAAGAGATTATTATATTAATTATGGATTATTTCTTCCTTATATAAATAAAAATAAAATTAATTATATTACTTTTTATAAGTGGGGTACCCAGGGTGATTCAGTTGGTTAAAGCATCTGACTCTTGGTTTCAGCTCAGGTCATGATCTCAGGGTCCTGAAATCAAGCCCTGTATTGAGCTCCCTGTAGGGAATCTGCTTGAGATTCTCTCTTTCCCTCTACTTTTGCTCCTCCCCCATGCTGCTCATGTTCTTTCTCTCTCTCTCAAATAAATAAATAAATAAATAAATAAATAAATATTTTAAAAATTATATTACTATAAGAAAAAATTGACATCAGAAAAGAAAACTACCAGGAGCAAAGGAATATCACAAAATCATAAGAGGATTAATTCACCAAGAAAGAATTAATAAGATAGATAAACCATTAGCCTTATTAACAAGAAGAGAGAGAAGACTCAATAAAATAATGAATAAGAAAGGAGAGATAACTACCAACACCAAGGAAATACAAACGATTTTAAACACATAT